TTGTGGGCTTCTTTCTTTGTGGTGAACTTCATAATTGCAGGAAGGTGACTTTATTTTCCTCATTACAGTTGAAGAAATTCCTCGAGAACTGCACATGCAGAGGTAAGCATTTTGCTTTCTGTGTAATCAGAGACTTTTATAGTGACCTCATCTGAAATACATGTTTTTTAAGTCCTTGATATATTTTCCACTTCGGTTCATATTCAGTAGAGATCTTGTGATTGAATCATCCTTGGATTTTTGAGCCATCTTTTTCACTGAGGTTTCTTTAGAATCCTTAAATAATCATATTTATAGTCTGCACTGCATCTGGGAATCATCTTAAGAGAGTTCTATATTCATGACATGTATCCATTAATTTTGAATGCACTTTCAATATGGCCATGGAGCGCTAAGGCAGGCTTTGACCCATTACCAATGTAGGAACTTATATCATTTGTGAAATCATCTTTTAAATAAAACTTAGACAATATTATCAATTGAACACTTGACTTGATTTCCACTTTCATCAGATGTGAGCATTTCTTTGTGATATCAATTCCCTCTGGTATAACCTTATTTCAGCTTCTACTTTTGACTTTTCCTTATCACTAAAAATATGGGACATAAAGATGATAATTTTCAAAAGCTAATATGTACTGATATCTCTTACTCTGGTCTAATGCTGTAAACTAATTAGATATAATTTTTAAGGGGTAATTTCTGTTTCATATGCTGTGCTGTATTAGTATAAGCTTTAATCAGAAATTTGAATTCTTTTCCTATTGGATGATTTTTTTAATTTCTTCAGGAGAGTGGAAGTTTCTGCACCAGTAATATTACTTGCTAGTAGATGGAATTCTGGATTTGTGACATCAACCTTTAATAAGTCATTATAAATGTGCATCTATATTTCTGGCTTCAAAAAAAAGAAAAATTTTTGGCCATCATTTATAAATACTGAATGTTATTAAATGAAGCATTGTTTTTTTGTTTCAAATAATTTAATATATGTGTTGAACTCTGGATACTGCTGAATATAAGCCATGCAATAAAGTTTTGTTTTGCATAACAAATAACAATTTAGTATTCTTTTTTCCGAGCTAAAGCATCCTTTGTGAGTTGTTGGGAATGCAAACAAGAATCACCCCTTCAACAAATTTTTTTCTGAGCGCAGAAATATTTCTTTTATTGTATACAGTTTCAACATAAGAAAAATAATCCCCTTTACAGTTTTAATCCAAGTAGTGAAATAAAATGCAATACAGCATCCCACAGATCTTTGATTCTTTCTAAAACACATAAAATGTACACCCCCTATGGGGGCTCTTCAAGGCTTAAGTGTTTAATGGCAAGGGATTCACAGATTTTTGAAAATTTTTTCTCTTTTACTGCAGCTTTTCATATCAAAATAGATGTCATCAAACAAAATCTTCTAAGTATCTATCAAAACATGAAGCAATTTTTTGCACACTTATTATCGTGACATGTGTCACCATCAATTCTCATAAGTGGGGTGCTTGTTTGATCGAGTCTGTTTCAACACCCTTTTTTTTTTTTTTTCCCACAACATGGTTAATGAGTCCATAATACCTAATTAAGTTTGCCCATGGAATATTATTATCTTCATAGTATTAACAACTGCTTTAAAACAGCTCTGAATTGCAATCCATCTTTAGAGATGCAAAATGATGAACTACAACTCATTTTGATTTTCATAAAACTGCACCAATATTGCCCGTATACTTCTTGAGCATTGCTAGTACTTTTTCATCCAAATTTAGAGAAAATGGAGTCTCCTTTAAGTTTTTAATGATGTTTTTCCTTAGTTTTTGCGAGCCCATATTTCATCTTAACATGCAGTGTCCTGGATATTTCCAACGAGTTAGTGCCATCTGATCGCAGCTCAACTGTTTGCAGAGTTTCATTAAATTGGAAGCTACTGAAAGAAAAGAAAATTCTAGGCGATAAACAGTTATTCTCCTTTGCTGCTTTTTGTCACTAATCCCATGGCCGAGCATATCTCCCAGTATTTTTTAATAGCATAATTACTTAAATCATTGAATGTCTAATGCACTTGAATTTTTAATGTGCTCACAGTTTTAGAATGATTTGTGAAAGCTTGAATCCTTCCCCACCATACTTCAGCAGTGAATTACAAAAACACAATATGCTTGTTCAGCAACATTTATTTTCTTGCACCATGTGCCGATGGTATCCCCATTACCATCTCTCCATTTAATCAAATTCCACCTAAATGCATTCCGGACACCTTCTTACTAATTGTATATCAACTATTATATCGCAGAAATTTTCATAGTGAAATCTCTTACATACATAAATAAAAAATATTTCAATAAACGAAATGAAAAATTTACACGTGCATCAATAATTAAACGAAAATTTTACACAGCGGAGGGAAAAAAAGTTGAGAAGCGATCAATGACAATAGCTAATACGGCGAAAAATCCTCCTTCCTCTACTTATTGGCGCCACGCCAGGAGAGATAAGACCTTTGAACCCAGAGTCACGTGATCGCACATCTGGTCGAACGAAATCTCTCCCCTTTTTTTTTCTGCCGCGCCTACTTGCCGAAAAGAATCCAGAAGAGAATGTCCGAGAACCGGGGGAATGAGTCTAACTCGCAATAAGGAAAGAACAAAAAAAGTTTTTTCCCCCTTTTCATAATGCATTATCACTGCCTTTGGAGAAGAAAGAAAAGTTTTCACCACACACACTGACCTTGCGTTTCTGCTTTCAAGAAAACAAAATTACCTAGATCAAAATAAATATTCATTATTCTTCACTTCCTTTTGAACCGTCCCGAATATCCGATATCAAAAGTTAAAAATCCCCGGAATTTCCGGGTTTTCCCCGGAGCACAAACACCCCTGTTAACGGCAGTGGCATATGATTTGTTTGTTGATTGAGGCTGGTGCTTTGAAACTGTCTTCCTGGCTTCGGCATATGAATGTCCTAGAAACTTTTATGTCTGGAACTTCCTTTCTATTTCCATTCAGAAAAGGACGAAAAATGCTGGATGATCACCTTTGCAATTTATACACAATGCAGCAGCAGTGCAATTATCGCTATCGTGACCAACCGACGAGCATCGAACGCACGTCAGGTTGCCACGACGGGACATCTTGGAATGGCCGTAACACTGGCATTGGAAGCATCGCATAGGGTTTGGAATGCATGGTCGTACAGGACAATTGAGGTATCCAAGCCTTAATATTCTTAGGCAGATCAGGCGATTTTAAGGTCAGGATCACATGTTTCGTGTCAATCAACTGACCTTCCTTACGCATTTTGCTCCGCCTGGCAGCACTGACATTTTGATCGGCTAGCTCGGAAATGAACTCTTCTTCAGAAACAGACAGAAAATCGACTTCCGAGATTACGCCTCTACAAATGTTAAGTGTTTTATGTGGAGATACTGTTACATCAATTTGTCCTAGTTTGGTTAATCGTAGCAGGGAGGCAGACTGTACAGCGGATATTGTATCGATAAGCAAATCTCTAGATCGGAGACACTGACCAATCAAGGAATGAACATATTTCTGAATTACAAATGGAGATAACTTTTGAATTTTGCCAGAAGGACTTGAGACTACAACGAAACGAGGGCAATTTTTAGGGTCATTTGCATTTGCATCGGTACATGCTTTTTTTAGCAGTAGATTTTTCAGAATTGGTGCTTGGAGTGGCGGGACTGACTTCAAAGTTTTTAATTAAAAATATCTGAGAGTTAGCCATATTTGAAAGAGAAAAGATTCGGGTCCGACGGCCCCGCCCACCATGGAGCCCAACAAGGGAACACAGATTTCTGTGTTAGGGCTAGCCGGACCTATACGCAAACTGAAGCCCCACAGTCGGCTTTCCCGAAAGCAAGTACTCCCGAGAGCTTATCCACAAGCCACTGACACAAGGACTAGTGACCAGCCGATTGACACTCATGAGGACGACTAGTCTCCACGCACGGCAAACATGTGGGCAGTTTTCTCGCCACTCAAAAACTAGACACAATCGCTGTTCCAGTCTCTCGTGATGAGCCCCAAACTCTGAAGAGAGAAACCACAAGGGAGAAGAGAAGGGAAAAAGTTCCAGCCAAGAGAAGAGGAGACGGAAAAGAGGATAGATCACTGGGACTCCAGGATTATGACACCCGTCTCACCAAGAAGATGATCCCCTGAAGGGCTAGGGTACCTCGGGATTGCCACACACGTACTCACAAAAGTGAGCCCCCTGAGGGAAAAAGTCCCTGAAAGCACAAGAAAGTTAAAAAAGCATAGTTTAATAGTTTACTGCAATAATCTGCATGCTAATGGCTAGCTGTATACCTTTCACTAATTTGACATAATCACTGAACAATTTTATAAGGATTTTACAGATTCAGTACCCCCCCCCAAAAAAAATTATTTTTAGTGCAGTGTAAAGTTATGCACATATGATTACAGCATACACAACACACAATTAAAGCAAAATAATTTATACTGAGAGCCAGAAATAAACAGAAAAAATCTCAGTTTTATGAAAATACTCAATCTTATCAAAATACTTTACTTACAAGACTAATTTAATATGACTTGGATTAATAATTCCATATTATATTTTAATTTTAATACTATGGCCAATCTTAAAAAATTTGTTAACTACTGAAAGTCAGCCAATTTCACAGACACAAACATAAGAATTTTTTTTAAATACTTAAATTTGTAGCAAAAAATACAAAATTAGAATAAAAATATATTATTTTAGTCCAGGGAAAAATCACTGCTTATTACCTGTATTTAGGAAATCGAGAATTTTTTACTTTACTTCAATTATTTACTTTTACAGATGACTTAAATCTTAAAACAAATTTATGAGAGGCAATAACTACATTAATTTATAAAATAACAAGGAATTATCAAAACTTGTAAGCATGTATAACAGAAAGTGTAAAAAAAAATTGGCATTAAGAAAATGATAGAAAAACAATATTTTTTAACACCAGTAATAAAACATATCTTGCTTACCGCTGAGATTTTTTCAATGGCAGGAATGCTTGAAGATCCCAGTCTTCAGGAAGTGGTATATCTTCAACTAAAAATTACACAAATAAAATATATATGCATTTTAACTATCTCTGCAAAAGAAAACTCAAACAAGATGATTCTTAAAAAATCTTTATCTTTGAAATAAATAGAATTTCCGAATAGATTTCTGCAAAATAAAAGCAATTTATTATTAAACAAGGTACAAGTTAAAGCAAAAAAAATTCCATCTTACACTTTTTTACATCAAAAGGTTCATTAGCTGCAACATCGAGGTCATTCAGTAACTTGCATAATCCATGCCACACTCTATAAATATTTAAATGATTAAAACTCATATCTGGGAAATACAAGACTAATTTTAAAAAACATGCAACCAGGATATGATATAGAAAGATTCTTCTAACCAGTTCTAAAATATTTTGATTCCCTAGCAATTTTTATGAATCAAATTTCAGAACAACTAATTTTGCAGTGAAGGTGAAATCAAGATACTTACTGAGGGCTCTTACTGATGGCTTCATGCTGAAGAAGCTGTGGATCTTGTAAAAACCAGTCTAATATTATTTTGATAGCTGGTAGTGTATAATAACTGGCAGTTTCTTTGGGCTCTAATGAAGCATGGACTGGTAACAAAAATGCATGTAACATGCTTGCTGCAAAAAAAAAAAAAAAAAAAAAAAAATTTATATTTGGTATGGTCAATTTAAAAATTTGAGAACAAGGCAAAGGACATTTTATACTTAGAAAAAAACATAACTTTCAACAGTAATACACATGCAAATGTAAAATTTGTATAATAAAAAATAAGTAAGTATAAATTAATAAATAATAAAAATATACCTTGCAATCTGAAAATTTTAGATTACAGGCTAACACCTCAAAGAAGAGCTTAGAATTAACCCTTCAGCGGCTGTCAGATTAGTCAATTCTTTCTTCCAAAATACTTCCCAAGATATCTGACAACTGCAAATTCATAATGCAAGCTATGTTCACATGCGTCTACTGCAGTACATAACTGGATTGCAAGCTGAGCTCATTGATCACCATCGAAAGGTTAAAATGCTTTTTAAATTTAAAATGCATAAAAATATTGAAACATTATAAAATAATTATCATTTAAATTAAATTAAATGCATATAGGGAGAGAGAGTTGTAGTCATAAGTGATTACAAAATGTCATCGTCATAATTCAATTTAGTTTTACATACAGATGACATTTTACATATTTTGCAGCTGACATATTATATGGTACAAGAAATTTATTTTATTTATCATATTTATGCTATAAAATAGCACTTGCTTTAAAATACTCATAAGTGTAGATAAAATAGCATTTTAAATTACTTGAATTTTTCCCGTTTATGGGTAATAAACTTTTATCATATTAAAGATGAATATAAGATCTTATGTAAGTGACTGCCAAAGACATGCTGTCATGTTTCTAATCTTTACTTGTAAAAGATATGACTTTTATTATTAATTAAAAAGTACAGCATCTCCTCAAGATGTTTAAAAAGAGACTGCATTAAAGGCAGGGAAAAATCCATTTCATTAAATTTTATAATTTTAAGCTCACATTATAATATTTTAAAAATAAATTAGCAGACATAAAATTAACTAAAGTGACTTTTAGCAATACTTTCATTTTTACCAAAGCAAATAAAGTAATGTTAAAAAACAGCAGAACTTTGTTTCTTCCTGTCTATTTTAAAACACAATTTATTACACTTCAAAATTTTTAAACACTCTTTCACACTCATTTTCATCATTAATAGTAACCAATTATGCAATTTTATGATTTTACCAACTGATTTTATTTGTTCAAAGGAACTGTTAAATATTGATATTATACCTAAAAGTTCTTCTATAAGAGATGAAGCTTTCAGTTCTTCAGGACTAAGCATTGCTTCATCGAGACTTGTAGAATTTTTGTCAATATCCATAGAACCCCAAGCATGCTCAATAGCAAACAAACAAACTGCAACCATTTGAACTAACTGCCATGTTTCAAATTTTTCTGCTATAATTAGGGCAGGAAGAGATGTGGTAAGCTTGCTTATCATTTGGTCCGTTTTCTTTAAATCTGAAAGAAAACATTTGAATCAAAATTTCTCAAAATTACAGAGTTTCATAATTGCTTCATATCAGAATATGTTTTATAATTCTATCATATAGTGAAAACTAATATATTTAAAATTTCCAAAGAAAGAAATACGAATGCAAGAAATATGAATTGTCACTAATTGAATACTTTCTGTATATATGCAATTTTTCTAATTTTCTGAGTGAAATTTTTGATAAATTTATGAAGTACATTTGATTAAAATAGAAGTTATCTCTTAAAAAGACAATAAAGTTAGTAAGAAATCAGAAGTATCACAACTAATTTGAAATTGCATAAAATAAAGTTTCCAGATTCTTATTCTTTTTCTAGAATACATTACTAGATTAGCTTGCATACTGTTAAAAGCAACTCCGTGTGATCAAAAATGACCTAAATTCTAATCACAAACTCTGTAATACCAGATGCATCTGCAAATCCATAAAATAACAGGTACAAGTAAAAGTGGGCGGAACATCAGAATTTCACCATTGGTCATACAGGTATATTCTGCCTTACTAACACTGCAGTTCGTCCCCAATTTTGCAGGTTGTAATCTTAGAGGAGGTTTGAAGTTCTCCGATCCCTTTTTCCCCTACTACCAACCTCTTAAGAGGATTTTCAACTTGCCATGCATTTTGAGTACCCCTTATCATACAGACATTACATACATATAAAAATGCATGTCTTCCCTAGGATTCAAACCCGGGCCCATCTGAACAGCAGTTAGTGTTACTAATCATTATACTAGGTGGGTGGCCCATGAAATGACAGCAGATCTTGAAATAAATCACAGCAATTTTGATTATAGTGATTTAATTCAGTATAATCAGTATTCTGACTCACAAATAATCAGCATTCTAATAATCATATTAACTCACAAATCAAGAGCAGCAAAAAGAAAGAGAAAATGTAAGCTATTTTACAAAAAGTGCATATTTAAAATATATTTCATGAAGTTTTCTCAAAAAGTAATGTAGATATTACTATAATACTTATTATTAACCCGTGAGTAGCATCACCACCTTTATCTGGCTATGAGTTTTTTGTTGTTGTTGTCTGTTAGTATACATCAGCTTATAATTTAAAACATATTTTCATCTAACTTTCTGTAATAATGTAAATAACATCTTGATGAAAGGAAATTTAAAAAAGGAAAGACCACAAGGAATTTTATGAATTTAGCTAATAAATGCTAGTTAAATATAGGTTTTCGTGAGGAGCTTCAAAATGCTGTGCCACTCAGAAGGTTAAAAAATAAGTGTAAAACTGTAGCAATTATAGATATCACTGATAAACCTTTTATGTTGAAATAAATATATGTATATAATATGCAAATACAAATTATGTACACTGAGTCAAAAAAAAGGGAAGACATAGTTCTATATCTGCTTCTTTACTTCCTTGATTGATGAAATTCAACTTGCGTTTTAAATGTTTCAAAAGTGCAGCTTAAAATATATATTAGATTTATGAATAGTGTTGTTCTAGCACATGTATTTTGATAAAACACTGGACTTTTTCTGAAATGACATGTTAATTTTCTTCCATATTTCGATACTATGACTCAAAGTATAACTAAAAACCAAATTTTGTAAAATCTGGTGTGAAATTTGATGAGTAATTCAGAAATTTCCCTTGGTGCACTCTTTTTACTTTATGCCAAGAATAATTCATTTTACGAACTTCTCAGTTTACAGCAACTTTATTTCTTTTTCACATAGATTCTGCACAAACAAGGGGAAAAAGTATATATTTTTTCTTTCTTGCACACATTTTTACTTCATATTATACTTTTTAATCACAATTCTTATTTTTAGATTATTTTAACTACTTAAGTTGCATGGTTGAAAAATAGTTCTTCAAACAGTTATATTAATAAGTTCTATTTATCCATTTGCATTGTGTACTTAAGCCATATTTATTCATATAAATGTTTTTCATTTTAAAAAATTCCACTTCATTTATTTGAACAGCATTTTTTTCGAAAGAATACTTTGTCATATAATGTTCAACACTATGCCTTTGAAAACTACATTTTGCATTAAAAAAGAAAATATGGTAAAGCACGGTTAATATATCTTCTAATAGAAAGAAAAGATTTATGAATGAGAAAGTTGTATTACCTACATTTTAATTTAGAATGATATGCATACGAACAACTACCCATGGTTTTATCACTGTGGCATTGCTTTACGCAATTTCATCATTCTATGTTTACTTTGTTAAAATATTATCCATATTTCCCAATAAATTCAAATTTTTCATTTTTTAAATTGCACAAATCAAGCAGCATAACATAAAAAAGACTAAATATTATGCAAATAAATAAATAAAAATAATTCACTATAACTAATAAATTATTCTTAATGCCTTAATTTTTTTTTTTGGCTTCATTGTTTCAAAAAAAAAAAAAAAACTTAACATAACTGAGGCATTCTCACAAATACAATGTGATCATTTTCCCTTTTTTATCACTATATTCATAACATAAAAACATAAAACAGCATAACATAAAAAAGACTAAATATTATGCAAATAAATAAATAAAAATAATTAACTATAACTAATAAATTTATTTCTTAATGCCTTACATTTTTCTTTTTAATGGCTCATTGTCTCAAAAAAAAAAAAAAAAAAAAACTTAACACTAACTGAGGCATTCTACAAATACATATGTGATCATTTTCCCTTTTTTATTCACTATATTCACTTACTCAGTTACCATATTTAATTTTCAATCAACTTGTTTTCTTTGACATTCTATCAATAAAGGTGTCACTTTCTGTTTCATCAAGTAATTGGTAGGAGTAAAATAATGAAGCAATTTTGCCCATTATACTGAATGTCTTTTAGGCTAGGTATTTTGAAGGCATAAGTAGAAAGGAAAAACTAGTTTCATCAACACTGAAAGCATTTTTAACCGATATCCTTACACATTTTTGGATAAATTCATGAATCTTCAATAAACTGAGACATCTTTGAATTTTCCATTTATAATATGATATGACATTCAACAACATAATTCAAACTTATAAAGCCCTTCAGTGCAAAAAAATTGCCCTTTGCGATGTTATTTCTTCAGTACAGGCCCATTCTTTGGATTATTTGATGCATTGCACTGAGTGAAAACTTCATAAAATATCATTTGAACCTCCAGAGATTTTTTCTTGAACACGTAATTTATATGAAGCATCTTTTTGTAAACTAACACTCTTTCTTCTAATTTTTTAGTCTCAGAAACATTCCTTTTCAATACACAAGTGATGCCAAAGTGTTCAGTTTTCCGGACAGTTTATTTCTATAAATTTTATGTTACCAAATTCTTTTAAAATTTTAACCTAAAGTCATTTAGTCCCATTTTTCATAAAGGCTAAATTTTTATTTTCAAGACATTTTAACTGCAAACTAACTTAAAGTTAATCCTGAGGGGCAACAGTTGAGTCGTCCCACTTTTTTTATCAGTTTTTATCTCCCAGATGAAAGCTGCAAAATTCTATTTAAAATACATACAACTGTACCTTTTAGTTCTCTAAATGTGTAACAGATGGCAGCACTAGTAGTATTCATTCACAAAAATAATATAAAATCAAGGAGGTTAGAATAGAAGGAGGGAAGGTTCGCAGTTTCCTCCACTGTCAGGGAATGAAACTCCACCGAACAAGTGGTGTCCATGTTTGTAACTTCAAAACATTGCATTACGGCAGTGAAACGTACGTGTTTTTAAGCTGTTGTGTGCATGTATTTTCCAGTAAAAAATATGTTAAATTATAATGAATCCCTTCACTATTGTTAGTTTTTTGTTTTAAAGTTATAAAGATAATATTCTTAATTAACTACGTACAGAAAATCATTAAGAACTAGTTCGAAATCTAAATGCAAGTGCCTTTAAAAAAATGCAAGTGCCTTTAAAGCCTTTAAAAATGAAGTTTCTGTATATTTCAAGAATTTGTTTAGGTTTTATTAGCAGCCTGTTGGGTGTACTTTGCAATTTGTCCTTTAACAAGTGATATTTCTGATATATTCACAATATTATAATTTACTAAAGAATCGTTTAAAATAATTTTAACCTGAAATTAATAGCAGATAATTATCTAAAAAGATAGTCACAAGTTGCATTTTTTTTAATGAAAGTTTTAAATAGATTCTTTTCACACCAACAACCCTTATAACAACATGAAAATAATATTAATAAAATAAAACAGATTTATGTGAATTAAATGATTTCAGTTTATGCTTAGTGAAAAGTAATTCCAGGAATTTTTTTCGAAAATATATTCGTGCATCCATATGCAACACAAGCTGACATGCTTCAAAAGGAAAAGGGAAAAAAAAATGTTGCAATTACCTTGCACAAGTCACAGCGATAACAGTAACATGGCCACCAAGCTTCACCATTTGAGTTGAACCTTCCCTCCTTCTATTCTAACCTCCTTATATAAAATAAATATTCTTTGCAGGTCTAATTTTGAAGCAGTTTTTTTCTTTAATTTCTAATGCAATTTAAACTGTCTGAACAACAACTTTTGGTGATAGAATGAATATTTTTACGTGAAAGTTTCCATTTCTAATAAAAATTATTATTTGAATTCATGTAGATTAACTTAGAATGGTTGAAATTAAAAGGTGGGACCAAATATGTCCCACCGCGCACGTAGAAATTGCGGCTACTAGATGGCAGCACCGTTCAAATATTTTTTAATTTAAGTATCATGTTCGTTTTATATGTTGATAATGCAAATTTATATTTTTAATAAATTGCAATAATATTAAAACTTGAAAAATATTTAATATATTTCCAAAAGAAATGAAAATATAACTCTGTAACATGAAATGTCATTGAATACTGAATGGATATGTGAGAGTGATTCACATAGAAAAATATCCTGAGCAGAGGAGAGGTGAAATGTAAATAAACATGAAGGCCTTCTAAATATCTTCCTTTCCAAACATGTAGCAAATAAAGTACTGGAGCGAAAACC